TTTTGTAAATTTATCCTAATTCATATCAATATGAAGAATTTGATTATGTTTTACGTATCTTATTTAATACCTTTAAAAGTTATATTAAAATATACATATCACTAAAATTATGAAAATTTATAATAACTCATTTTCTTTCTTCTCAAAGTTCTTACAGAACTATATAACAAAGTAAATTTTATGACAAACAAGCTATTCAAACTTATATATATGTGTTTATTTATCTATTCAATTATATATGCATTCATCTATATTCAACGATGTTGTTAAACTTGATTAGATAGTGTATTCTTTTCTAGAGTATTATCTTTGTTAGCGATTAAAAAAGAATTATAAACGAACTTTTCGCGCATGTAATACTTTTTATATAATTTTTAATCAATATATTTTAAACATTTCAACTAACTTATTTTATTTTATTAATTTGATAAAGATCTGACTAAAATTAATAATAAATTTTTTTTTCAAATTTGTTATTGGGTAGAATAAATCACTGTAAAATAAGATACTGCCGTACTTGTAAGCTGGAAAGTGAATATTGTACTTTATATAAATATTACATTTTATTTTTATTGTTAAAAAAATTTTTAATTTTACCGAAGCAAATCCTTCCAAAGATGCAACAAATATTCTACCACATACAAAAACAGTATTTATTGTTCCCCTTTGCATTATAAATAATAATAATTTTTGGGTATGCAAAGGTGCTGCATACCATAGTCCATTATAGCTATAAATTAATTTAAATAAAATCAATTTAAAATAAGAAAATAATGAAAAGATAAAAATATTTTTGTTAAGTAATGTTAAATTAACTATATGTTAGGAAAAATATTGAAATAAAAAGAGTGTACAGTATCCGTTAAACCACCAGTCTAATAAATCTATATCATAATTTTTATGTAAAGAAATAATAATTTCAAAATGTTGTAAAAATACAATACCCACCTTGCTTTAAAGAAATGTAATCCATGATTCGTTAATTCTTGTCCACCATAATTAAGAACAAACATATAAATCAAATGATAAATTATGATTATAGTAGCAATAGTTATTACACGAATATCGCTTGTGAATTTTACAAGTTGAAAAAACTACGATAAAACATCAATTATTAAGCAATTAATAATTAACTCAAAAAAGAAAAAATTATTTACTTGAAAAAGGTTGATACTTAAGGAGCTGATACCAATTACAATCAGAATAGTAAATAATGTCGTATAAGTGGAAATCACAATGTCAGTATACCTTTAAGGAGGAGCTGAATATTGGAACAAGATAGATGTACATTATCGTTATAATTAACGCGAAATAACACATCTATTTATAAAAGCTATTATATACTATAATATAAACATATTTACTGGCGATAACCGTCTGACTCTATAAAAACGTTATGTCTGTAATATCAAAATATCTCAGATAGCAAAATGTTAGCAGTCTGTGAGCAGATTGTCAACAAATTCAGATTCTATTATAAATCCATAGTCACTTAGGTCGTTTTAAACTCAGGATCTGTCAACAAAGTCTGCTGATATGAAATGTCAGTAGATTGGTGGCAGAAACCGAGCATTTGCGCGCGAGAACAATTTGATGACAGAATGATAACAGAAATCAAGCAGGAATTGCAAATTCTGCTTAGTTTCTGTCACCAATCAGCTGGCAATAGCATGCTAACAGATTTTATCATATTTCTGACGGCAGTTTGCCGATATCGTCAGATATTATTTTGTGTGAAATTGAAAACTACTCGAGATACAGAAGAAAAAAAGACATCGTTAGTTTCTTCTCTTTGTGTGTCGATCGCTGCATTTATATATATTCCGTACATATCATTTCTTAAGATATTGTATGCCGTCTTCCATCACGAAGCATATATTAAAAACGGTCATTATACTGTATATATTTAATTGTTGAATATGCTTAAATGTGTTTAATCAATTCCATATTTAAATTATGCTAAATGCGATATATCAATAAAGCAAAATATATTAATAAAATTTAATATATGTACTAATAAAATTTAATATTAAATGTGCTGTAAAGATAATTTCAGAATTAATCAGTTATTTTTAATGCATAAACTCTTTCGAAAAACAGAATTCTGTGGAAATAAATTGCAGAAAGTTATAATAAAGTTATAAAAGTTTATATCTTTTTAGATACTGATTCGACGAAAACAAATTTACAGAAAGTTATAATAAAAATATAAAGATACTGACTCGATGGCTCTTCGATGCATGACAACCGCATGTATAATCTTTTGCGAAAGGAGATATTTTCTTTTAGGACTAGGAACCATTAATATATTTCTCTCTATCGCATTCTCTATTCGAAAACTGTATAAATCTACTTAAGTATATTTTAATTAAAATAAGTGTTTAAGAAAAACAAATACGTTTCACATTACCTTGCGATTTTAAACAATGCACATGCGTGCATGACGTACATCATGATTATCACACAAATGCCCCATAATGCAGTTACTGCTATGTAAGCGGTTAGCATCTCGTGTAATAATAGATAATGAATATATCTCTCCTGATTGACAAAGTACTCCGTAAGGATCACAAGATGAAACGGCTGCGATTCATTTAATGGTAGTATAACATTAAAGATTAACGGCAACAACTCAAGTAATCCACAAAGGAATATAGATATATAACAATACGCTGAGAAATATTAAATTTAATTCGAATTAAATTAGGCAAATAATTAAAAAAAATTATTCACGATGTATTAAAAATATTATTTATTTCATTAATAAAAATGAATAAATAATATTGCGTCATCGTACAATATAAATATACTATGAAATACTCATATTCTTACCTAACATAACTATTGTAAATAATCTCGTGTTGCAAGCATATTTTTCTATAATATCAATTTCCAATTTATCTTTCAACAAATTCCAATCATTTTGAATTTGCTCCAATAGTATTTTCAACTATTTAGTAGATAGCGATTTTTACTTGCTCATATTTAAAATACAATTTACTTTATAAATGTTGCTATAAAGCATTTGAATGAAAAATTTATCTTATTCAACTTACATCGTCTGCTTGAATGATGAAAATGATATATTTTATTACGATGAAAGTAAAAGGAATGAAAAATGAGAAAACCTTGAACAGAAGATTCACACTGTATTGGTTCGTAATGAATATCAGCAACTAGAAATAACATTTGAAATATGTATTGATTATAATTTTTACGTATCATATAGTTTTTACGTCGAAATATGTCTTTAACATGATGATATTTATTTTGTTATTATATATAAGAGAGAAAATTGTTTACATTTAATAGATTATACAAAAGACACTACAATATTATTAATAAAATATAAATATAATACATGACAATATTTTATATTGTCGTGTATTATATTTATATTTTATTAATAATATTGTAGTGTCTTTTGTATAATCTTATATGCATAAGTTACAAGAAAAAATGAGGAACCTTTAATAAAAAAACGAAAATATAAATATTTTTATTAATGTGCGTAATAAAAATGTCACTGATTAATTATCGTCATAAAATTTTATATGTAACTCAACACACCTGAACAAGAAGAAATGTCAAAAGAATACCAGTAAATAATACTTTGTGTAGCCATGTGAGGTATGTTTGTTCATAAGGCCACAAGCCAAGTGTTTTAAGTATAATTTGATAGATCTTGTAATAGCGCTCTTGGAGCGCACACGTCTTGTATTGCGACATTATAAAAAGGGTCTCTCCAGGTCTCTCTTCTAATTGTCGATTTATTCTATTGAAAATTCTATGAATTTTAAATGACGTATTTTAAGTATCGTGTAAAGAAGTCGATTATATTTTTTCAATAGAGCGAGATATTCATGATATAGGCAAATGCAAATTGGACTGAATTATCTCAATTTGTAATTGAGAGTGATGTTTATTTAATGTGTAGGCTGAATAATATGATTGCACAAACGCAATAACATTTTTTTCTTCTTGGTAATGGAAAGAGCTTCAGTTTTTTTCGAGATGTTATAGCATATCTTTCTCATCTTGCATCAAACTATAGAACGCAGAAAAGTAAATCAAATGTACAGCACATTCGTTCACTATATCTAGTCTACAATCGTTAATTTTTTATTACAAATTTTTTAAGAAATTGTAGAGACAATACTAAGCTCAAAATTTTAATTTATGATAAAAAAACTCATTCTACTCTCCTATAACGTATCAAAATAAATTGTATACATATAGGTAATTATAACTATGATAGGCTGATAGCAAAGTATGAAACATTTTTAGTGTGCATATTTGATTTAAAAAAATAATAAAATATAACAAAAAACATAATTATATTTATAAATTCTTTTTATTGAAAAATTAATCTTCTTAATAAATTTATCATCGACTAGACTAAAATAATTTAGTATTACATTCCATACATGCGTTTCTTTTTCGTACGCTACTGTTTATTTAATTTACTTCATTTTTTGTCCTACGCAATATATGCAATATATACGAAATATATGCAGAGCATCATGTTCTAATAATAATTATTTAAAATATTTAAGCACTGTCAAACTTATCACAAAATACTAGTATTCCATATCCCTTCCTTTTCATATATATGCATAGTGACAAATATACTTTGTAGGTGGTGCATCGAACAATACATCAGCTTATTTATCTTATCTACTATGTTAACTAAATCTGATCAAAAAACGATAAATTCACTACGCTGATTGTAAGTTTCAATATTTTGTTATATATCTATGTTTTTTAGATCTATGCTATTCGTATTATAATTTAAATATAAATTTTTTATTCTTTAAAATTATTGATTAGTTTGGATTCCATAAGTAAAAAATAGTAGTACAAAAAACATATATTTAATACACCAATTTCTAATTACTTAAGTATCTGCTTAACACAAATTTACATTATATTATGTTATATTTATTTGTCACTTTAATAAAAATTTGTCCAATTAATAAAATAAATTTTATGTCTTGTTTCTATCGTGTAGAATAAATCAATGTAAAGTAGGATACTGTTGCATTTGCAAGCTAAAATTAAATAAACATTAAAATTTAAATTTGTTGTTGTTAAAGAAGTCTTAATTTTACCGTAGCAAAACCTTCTAAAGATGCAACAAATACACCGCCACATGTTAAACTGACGTTTGTTGTTCCCTTTTGCATTATAAATAATAATAATTTTTGGGTACGTAACGGCGCTGCATACCATAGTCCATTATAGCTGCAATTTTTCCAACATTAAAAATAAAATTGATTATAAAGTAATAAAAAGACATTTTTGTGACATAATTACACTAAATTATCTGTGTATTTGAAAATATCGCTAATAATAGAATTTATATGTATAATAATAATCAATTTAAAATAACTCTAAAGACACATATATATAGATATATGCATACACAATTTCCCAATATTTGTCCCAAAAGTACCCGACCTTTACATATATTCTTGGGCGTCCTCTCTTTCTTTATAGTGGAAAATAGGCATTCAATATTTACGCACTGTTAGAAATGTTCTTAAATTTCATTAACTTTTAATGTACATTGGTGAATGAAGTTTAATTTCTCTGTAACTGAAAGGACTATTAATGCACGTGTTAATGAGAGATTTAAGTTTACAGTAACTGAAAAATTAAGTGTAATGAAATTTAATATACTTTTTATTTACGGATATAAATGACATTTAATTAATCGTAATTGAAATAACTATTAATGTACACATATTAATGAAATTTAATGTACTTTTATAGTACATTTACGAATATTAATAATATTTTAATTAAGCCTAATATTATTAACGCTTAACGTTTAATACGTTTACGTTTCTTACATGTCATTAACGTAAATTACTTTTCAGTTACAGTTATCTTGTACTTTTCATTAACGTGTAAATTAATTTCTATAATAATGTGTTCATTAATTTCAATACACACATTTAAGACTACTGTAATTTAGTTTTTATTTACATCATTCATTACATTTAATTTCGTGCATAACCACATGCTTCCTTTACATGTTAATTAAAATTCATTGAGAAATTTCTAACAGTGCGGGAGACCTGGAGGAGTATCTCCATCAATAAGCAGCACGATTCAAGCAGTTCAGTCGGTAACGGTACGCAGTTGTGAGCGTTGAAAACTCTGAGCGTCGCATTTCTCAATGATCGCTTTTCACAATGATTTAGGATTTTTTGACTAAACACGGTATTGTCTATTTTCGCCAACCCCTGTACAATCCAGATATATTCCGTGTGATATCTGATTATTTCCTAAGTCTTAAAAATCTTGAATCAGATGAGATGAATGACCAGGTGCATTATATGAAATGCGACGCTCGGATTTTCGATGCTCACACAACTGTGCATTGTTGTTGAACAGCTGTTGAGTCGTGCCATTTGGTAGGAGTATTCCTCAAGGTCTCTCTTCAATACTAAATGCTTGTTTTTCATAATAGGATATCCAAGGATAAAGATATCGAATTCTTTTGGGACAGACCTGGTATAATGAATATAGTTTATACAATATAGTTTTTAAATATAAGGGTGTATCAAATGTCTGAAAACGGTTAAATCTCTCGAAAGCAAAGCATTTAAAAAAAAAATGTTTCAGACAAAAGTTGTAGAGTTTAAAAAGATCTATTCATTGATTACATCCGCTTGACTTTGGCGTCGCCAAGGTCAAGTCAAGGTCAAACTGATTTCTTTAAATAGAATACCCCATTTTTAATGTCAGAATCTAATAGCTAGAGCTTTTCAAAACACTATAATAAAGTTATTTTTTATTAAGTACTTTTCCAATTATAAGGCTTGAAAGTTACAATACCGCCGGCATTAACATTACACAAGGTATCCGACTAATGACTAAAACTTTTTGAATGTTGTTCAGGATCATGTCCTGGAAAGATCAAAATCATTGGAGATTGTACCTCTTATTTTCATTTTTACGTAAAAATAAATTCTTACACTGTTAAATCTATAGTGTTAAATTTAATCTAATATGAGTCGCCACTGCTCCTACTAAATATATCATTATTTTTTACTAAAATGATAATTAAATTTGACACTATATAATGTTAAATTGATACTGTATAGTCAAATATAACCTATAAAATTTAACAGTGTAGTACAAAAATGAAAATAACAATCTCCTACAATGATCTTGATATTAACAAATGTTATCCAGGATATGATCCTGAACAATATTTGAGAGGTTTTAGCCGTCGGTTGGACACCTCGCGTAATGCTAATACTGGCGGTACTGTAACTTTCAAGCCTTATTATAACTAGAAAAGCTCTTAATGAAAAATAATTTTATTATAGTGTTTTGAAAAGCTCTTGACACTAGCTATTAGATTCTGACATAAAAATAGAGTGTTCCATTTAAAAAAATCAATTTGACCTTGACCTGATCTTGACGACACCACCCAAGCGGATATGATCAGTGACTAGATCTTTTTAAACCCTACAACTTTCGTCTGAAACATTTTTCTCAAAAATGCTTTGTTTTCGAGATATTCGATCGTTTCTAGACTTTTGATACACTCTCTGTAGATCTAAAAGTACTGTAAGACACAATACTCACGTTGCTTTGAATAATTTTAGACCATGATTTAATAATTCTTGTCCACCGTAATTAGCAACAAACATATAATTCAAATGTAGGAATATCAATATAGCAACTGTAAATGCTTGATTAATATTTCTTGTGAATGTTATTAATTGAAGGAACTACAATATAAAGCTACGTAAAAAAACACTGAATTAACTAAAATAGGAAATGATGTATGCATTACTTACTTGAAAGAGATTGAAACTTAATGAACTGACGCCAATTATTATTAGAATAAAGAATAATACCGCAAAACTAGACGTCAAAAGTTCAGCAAACCTTTAAAAAGAGTTGTAGGTATATTGGAACTATGTATTGCGTTATATAAATATAAAGTAAGCTTCAAAATTTATTTATAATAATTGGTCTCGTTCGATCAAAACATAGGCTTCCGATATTCACTGAAATATCTATAATATACGTTACGCTTACTATAAATTTTCAGTACTGGCTGTGAATATTGAAAGGCAACCACGATATTGTGTATTCATAATATATTAAATTTTAATTATATGTTTAACGACGTTATTTGATTTTATGTTTCACAGAAATATATTGTTAAATTTAAATGTGTTATTAAAATAAATAGCAAATATTTCAGATTTATTCCATATAGAATTCTTCAATATGTTTGATTTTATATTTCAGATAATTTGTGTTTTGAACAACATTTATGCAAAAATAAAGATCGATAATATACGCTTAAAATTAAACGTACCATTTAAAAAAAATAGTCTCATAATCGATCAACTACTTTCAATAAATGAAAGATAACTTATATAAGGCAGAATACTCTATTGAAAATGTTATGGCAAAATATAAAAATACTAACTTGGTAGCTCTTTGATGCATAACAACTGCATGTACAATCCTTTGATAAAGGAAATATTCTTTTCTAGGACTAGGGATTATTAATGTACTCTTCTTGATCGCATTTTCTATTCGACAACTACATAAACTTATCTAAATATATTTTAAATATAAAACAAACATTCAAGCAAATGCATTTCACATTACCTTGCAATTTTAAATAGTGCACACGTGTGTAGAATACATGTCATAATTATCGCACTGGTACTACACAATGTTGCTGTTCCTACAGTGTATGCTAATGTCTCATGTAATAACATAACGTAAAAATATTTTTCTTGATTAACAAAGTATTCCGTGACCACGAAAAGCTGACATGGCCGTGAATCATTTAATGGTAAGATAACATCAAGAATTATGGGTAGATATTGAAATATTCCGGAAAATATTAACCCGAAATAGCAATATACTGAGAAACGTTAAATTTAATTCAATTCAAATTACAAATTATTTCGAAAAATCGTCAAAAGTTCATTAAAAATGTTTTTCACTTCATTCATAAAAAAAAGTAACATCAAGTATACTATCACAAATAGTAATGTATATTATTACCTATTAAAATTATTGTGAATAGTCTCGCGCTGCAAGCATATTTTTCTATAATATTAATTTCCAATTTATCCTTCAACGAATTCCAGTCATCTTGGATTTGCTCCAATAACTGCTTCAACTGTTCATTCCATATTTTTTCTTAACGATGGTTAAATACAATCTATACTACAAAATATTACAGCAAAACATTCCAATATATTTATCCTGTTAGACTTACATTGTCAGCCTGAATGATAAAAAGGCAATACTGTGTCGTGTTGATAAGAATAGGAAAGATGAATGAGAGAATTTGAAGAAGGAGATTCGTATTGTATTGATTTGTAATGAATGCCAGTAACTGAAAATAACATTTTAAATATACATTGGCAATAAATCATTTTTAAGTATTTTAAAAATATGTTTCACACACAAAATGTGTTTTATTTTATGCTAAAGGTCGATATAAGTTTATTTAAAATAAACAAGTTAAATGACTTTTACATTATTAATAAATAAATGCTTTACATGAAACATAAAAACAAACGAAGGGACATTGATAATAAAAAAAAAAGCAATAAAAAGTTATTATTAATTTATGTATTCAAGAAATGTTGGTAATTAATCTGTACATAAATCATGTGTTCGATGTTATACCTGAACAAGAATAAACGTCACAAGAATACTGATAAATAAAATTTTTTGAATTTGTGAAAAATATGACTGCTGATAAGGCCATAATCCAACCGCCTTAAGAATTATTCGATTAATTTTGTAATAGCGTTCTATCGCGTGCATTTCATACGGGAATTGCGACACAACTGTGGTACGGACTTTAGAATGTCGAATTATTTCTCATGAAAGCTTCTGCGAATTTTAAACGATCGATATCCTCGCGCGTTGTGAGTAATCGCAAAAAAATGCATGATTATATGTTTCTAATAGTAGAAATATGAATTCATATTACAAGCAAAATTAGCAAATTGATCTAAATGATTCTAATTTGTAATAAAAAATAATATTTCCTTAACATATAGGGTAAAGAATATTCTTGCGCAAACGCAGTCATGACTTTTTTTCTCGGCAATGGAAAAAGCTTCAGTTTTTTTTGATGATCTGTAGGATGCGTTTCTCGATTTGCATCTACAGTACAGTGCAGTCATATGTCAAACATAGAAGTATTCATTACTATATATATACGTATAGATAAAATATTTATATTACTGTTTATATTATTATTATATAGTTGCAGATTTGTAAATGAAGTGCTAGTATAGACATTTTTACAATAATAAGAAAGTTTATTTAGTTTATTTAATATATATATTAAAATAATTGTTTATTTAAGATTTTATTTATATAAAGAAATATGCAATATTGTAGTAAATATTTGATTAAAAAATAATTAAAAATTTTAATGCAATATATTATATATATTATATATTTTATATATATATATATATATATTGTATAGAATGGATTTTAATTTTGTTACAAATTGTTTTTAAAATGGATACATTATTTGTCAATATAATTTGAAATAATAATTATATAATATATATATGCATCAATATAATTACATATATGTTATATGTCTAATACATATAATATATACATGTAATATAATTATATACATATATATATATACATATACATATACTCTTTAAGATATAATTAGATACTTTTTTTAACGTAATTTTATATACGTTCATATGTTACTCACCGCAGAAATACACACACCATTCAGTCCACAGTAAACTCTTCGTGTACTTACCTGAAAATAAAGAAACAATATATTATTAATAATAAAGCTTAATAATTAATAACTATAGTTCTTTTATAAAACTATCAATAATAAAATTACGAAATGATTGGATCATACTATAAGTATACAATAAAACAAATATTTTATAATTCCTTAAATTTCTCCTACACATAAAGTATAAGTATATGTATATAAAATTTTTTATAACCTTTTTTTATTAAATTAGAAATTTGAACATTCTCCATGTTGAGTTATTCTGTCCAAAATTACCACATGTCTTCGTGATCAAATTGATAAAAAATGTCCATTACGGAATGTAGAGAGGTTCAAGTTTATCCTTGGCAGAAGTGATATTTTTTCTCAATAAATTCTTTAATTACAATGATTCAAGATGTTCATCAGTATCAATATTATTAACTGTATGTAAATTTAATTTGTCACATTATGTTTCAATTTAGGATTGTATTTCAAGACAAATAATCGACGCGTAATTCGTATGAATTAGAAATTGTAAAATTTACGCAAAAATATTATTAAGCAGCAAAAAGGATAAAGCCTTTACTTCTAAGCTTATTTGTTCTATCTGAAATATTATAACTAATAATTATATTAAAAATAAATTATTTGATAATTATATAACAGAAAAAGAACGATAATACAACATTAATAAACATTTTAATTTTTTTGCAGAAAAAGAACGATAATACAACATTAATAAACATTTTTATTTTTTTCCATTTTACATACAAACTAATAATATTGTTCCATTTTACACGCAAACTAATAATAAAAATGCATATTATATCAATTGCTTGATTCATAATACAAAAAAGAGTTTATTTATATATAATGCTTGATAATTTGTAATTACTTCGTCTATAGAAAAAGATTTCTTTCTATATAATGCGTCATGATGTTCTGTATAATATGTACATCAGTTTATATTTTCTACAATGCGTTTTAATTCATTTCATGTTACTTTACTCGCAAATGAAGAAGCACTCAATGGTCACATACTCAGTTTGTCTTTTCTAATTAACTTGTGATTCGATTTAACCTGATTATATAATAATAATATTTTTCTAGCTGTGATTAATCACTAAATTGATGGTTCTTTTTGTAGCATGCATATATGTGTGAATAACTTCTAAAGTCATCACTACGTAATCATCAGTTTAATGACTAATCATTGTTAAAAAATAAATATGCTTTTACATTTTTATCAGGTTAATTCTTACAGAAGTAGTATTCAACCCACCTTTTTCTCCTTTACTTTTTAAATATTTCTTTAACATTTAACTGGTAATATGTATACCTATATTGATACAATTTAAATTTCTGAAAATGCAGACTATCATTTTCTAGTGCTATTTTAATCATGTTTTTAGCTATAAACAAATTAAAATGAAAATACATGAATTTCTTCGAATTAATTGGGCTGCATGTAAAGTAATAAAGTTAGAAGGCTGTAAATTTAAACAAATATTAAGTATACTTTAATTGTAATGTATAATATAATAATAGTATTAATTAAAAATAGTAATTGAATTAATGTATAATTTATTTAGAATTTTTCACACGTGCTCATTTTTTATTTAAAAAATCTTGAATATATAAAAATACTGAAAGTACGATATCGTCGAATCTATAATAAGTGATGACCATTATTCTAATATTTTTAATTTATAATTTTTATCGTCTTCCAATCCAACTTGACATGTTTCAGTGATTGTTTACTTTAAATCATTTGTATAAAACATTCAATTCATTAATTCGTTATTTACTCTATATCGATTAAAAATTTATTTAAAAATTAAGTAAAATACAGAAGATATAATCGATACAATTTTAATACTAAAATAAAAACATTTATAATTTAAAGCACATAAATAATACTGGGGAAAAAAAAAATATATATACATAAGTGCTTTAATAATAAATTTTTTGTCATATTTT